ACGTACTTCCCTCAGGCAGTTACGCACTAACGTTCATTAACGTGAAAATCTCGTACGAGATTTGTGTGCGATAAGCCGATTCGAAAAGTACGATCTATCCTCCTGGCTGCGCATATCTGACGTCTACATGTATATTTACATTCTGAAGAGGCACGTGCCGGCCATTCAGCAAGGTGAAATATCTTTTCACACGTGGAATAGGTATATGACATTCACAAACGAGTAATGAAAATCGTTTAATCATTCCCGGGGTATTATTACGCATACGCACTTTATCAGCCGCGTTTGTAGATTTGCGCGATGTGAAAAAACACGATTTATTAAACGAACCTTAAAATCCACGCCGGTCGAGGGGTTTTTTTCCCCTCTTTTATCTCATCGAGCGTCTAATTTGTTTCGTTTCGTCAGTTTCAGAGAGACACCATCTCTCTGAAAATTCTCTATCATCTCCACGGGTGACTGAGATTTCGTAATACGTCTCTCTCGGTAACGTTTTCGCCCCGACTATTTATATTATTACTTAATCCGTACTAAACGAAATTCTATTTGTTACCATTATCTCGTGCCGCTGTCTCCGTTTATCTTCGCGATATGACGTAAAAAGGAAAGAAAGAAGAGTACACGCGTTAGTGGTGTTTCGCGGGGACCGATTTTACCGTATTTTTTATCAGCGTCGTAACACTTTATCGCGAGCGACGTTAATCATGTGTTTATTCCTGTATAAAATGAGCTTATTTTTACGTATCCAGGACATTGTAGGATTCGTCGAAGATAGGAAAATCTTTGAAATCTCGAACATCGAACGATAAATTTCTTTAGGCTTGAAAACTTTTGAACGTTTCAAAAGAATTGTCTAGTCGCGAGTGTTCGTAGCAGTTGGAACCGCAAGATTCATGTACAGGGTGTCCCGATTGTTTTGGATCAAACTTTGTCAGTATATTCTATAAGTAAGAAGAAAATGTTATATGAACATAGGTCGTTTGACTCTTCGTTAAGAAGTTATAGCAATAATAATACCAAATAAGGAAGAAATGGTATGTGGGGTTAGGTTATAAAATAGAAATAGTTGAGGGATATGTGCATTTAGTCTGTTTTGTGCAATTATCTGAAGTCGTTAGAGGTGTGGAATCTAACTTTTACCAATGCAAATCTTTTCTGGTATCGTAGAGCAACCGCAAATCCGTTACAATTCCTTCGTATTTTCGCTGTAACTTTTCGACGAAGCTTCGAACGACCTATGTTCGTATGACATTTTCTTCTCGCATACACTCGTAGAACCTACTGGCGAAGTTTGGTCGAAAAAAGTTGGGAAAAAATTAGGACACCCGGTATGTGTATGTACAATAACACGTGTAACGGAAGGAAGGTTTGCTACCGTTAGCAGAGCATAAGAATGACAGGGAACCGAGTGGATCGCGAATCAGATTCGTTTCCGTTAATCGATATCGATCGCGACAGCTGCGCAACCTTGACTTTGAAAATGGAAGGTTGGGCTCGTTTAAAGAAGGCATATCTACCTGGCAGACGACGAATCGACTGTTCGAAAGTCTGTCTGATCTACCTGCGGCTCCCGCTGTGTTTGCTCCCACAGAAGTGGGGGTGCACGTGGGCTACCAGGGACCACCCATTCCGTCCCCTCGACACGTGTATGACCTTGACTTTGACCTCCACCGTCCACGAGTATCTACCCCCGAAAGCGAGGGTCGATGTATCTCTACCTCGGGAGAGACGTCGTTCCTCTTCCTCTCTTTTTCCTCGTATTTTTTTTCCAGGAAGAAGGATCACTTCCTTCACGGAGGATTCCGCGGCCAAAGAGGAGCTGCAGGAAAGGAACTCCTGCTACGTACAATACGTATTTAGATAAGCTGATCTTGATGAGAAACGGCTGTCGCTACTGAGGCGGCTCGTGTATACTTGACCAATTGACCGCGAGATAATTCACTTATTGTTGTCAGATAGGATAATTTCTAAGGTTCGTACCGATGATTCTTGAATAATAGAATATCAATTCTTCTTCTTTTTTTTTTCTTCTTCTTCTTTGGAGACACGTGTCGAATATGCGTGTTGTACTTTTCCAAACTCACTTTGAACGTGCTTGAAGGAAATTTACATACAGGGTGTCCCAGTTTTTTCCGCAAAATCCTGTTTTTCAAGCCGGTTATGTAAAAGTATATGGGTTTCTTTTTGTAGAACTTTTGTTAGATGCTTGTTTCAGTATGTTTCCAGTGTCTAGTTTAGTAGCAACATGTAAATACCGAATACAATTGCTCGTTGTAAATATGTAACTGTTTCGCAAGTGCAAAATATTTATATAGTGAAGTAGTTGAAGTGCTTAGTCAGAGACACATTTTAGTGTTTTCTTCGTTATCACACTTTGCTTGAAATACTGTGATATAATATGTACTTACATATATAGTGTAATTCGTTTTTAGTCTGAAGAATCTTTAATTGTTTGTACAATTTGTTGACAGTTATTGTGGTTACAAAAGTTTTGCTCAAACTCAATCTTTTATACCGTAATTATTTATGCTATTCATATTTTTTTAATTCTTTTTTTAGAAGTATAAATGGCTCGTTTATTTAACAACAATTTGAACACTTAACGTATGTTTTTTATAGCAATGTAGTAACATGTGATTTATTGCATATGATTACTGAGTAATTACTGTTTTAACTTACTAGTTAGGAGAAGTGTAATAAAAATGTATGGTTTCAAAGTCGATGACATTAAGATCTTAATACATCAAGATTACACCTTAAATAAAACTTTCCTAGTTTAAAAAGAATTATTAAAAACGATAATTTGTAAACTTTCATAGTTAAAATATCTAGTTTTAGTAAGCTTTTGTATTTAAAATGTTTATTTATATAAAAAAAATCGTTTGTTTTTATAGCACTTTAGTTATTGTTAATACATCTACAAACGTTGCCAAATGAAATTACTCAAAATTATGGGTATGCATTTTTTGAGACATTTTTAATCATTTTCCAGGAAAAATGTAAATCAATGTAATCACGGAATTATTTTAAATAGGTATAAATTAAAAACGGTACGTGTATTCGTTGAAATTATTCGCCATGCAGAAACAGTTGCATCACTATTTTTCACATTAACCTGGAAGAATTTGTTTCGCATTTTGCACATTAGCCTGCATAATTTTATTTCGCATTTTGCACATTAGCCTACAAATACTTATTCGGAAGAATTTAAACAATTTTATTTGCACAATAGCCTGCAAATATTTAGAAGAATTTAAACAACTTTATTTACACAATAGCCTGCAAATATTTAAAAGAGAATTTAATAACTTAAACAATTTTAAGCCAACGATCACGGTAAATAAATATTTCTTTTCTTTATCGTCACATTCTGTTATTCACGTGAAACAATCAAGTATCTTCCCAAAATACGTTCCCTTGTTCTCTCGAGACGTGTTGAAAAATTTCGTCCCCTCTGTCGCAATAATATTTTTGCAAACGTGTAAGTAAGGACCAAGACGTCATACTTTTTTTCGAGCACGATTTCGCAATCAACAATCCATATTCAGCCCGTTCAATATTCGATTGCTTTAAAGAGTACTCGAGGACATCGGAACTGTTGTTCCGCTTAAATCTCCAGTTTCGAAATAGGCGATGATAAACCGTGGTTTAATGAGAGCGTGCAAACTTCAAGGAAAAATCAGTCACAAATATAATTTTATCTATTATTGACAGAGAAGAGAATGAATGACCTCTAACGTCATGGAATATTATGGCGTATTACGTATGCAATTAAACAGTTTTACTCTTTTCTCTTGCACTCTGATTCAACGGTTGAATTTTCTTTAACTCGTCGCAAACGATCTATCAGTCGTTTATTTTGAAAGTAGGGCAAGTCCGTTTTTTGTTTTTGTTTTGATTATAGATTGATCGCAGATAAAAAGATCGTATCATGTTCTATCTATTGTTATCGCTTAACTTAAGTTTTTCTCTTCCAAAAATGGACTTGCCCCACTTTGAATGTAAACGGCTGATATATCGATTCTCTTGTGTCTCGGAGAATTGGAATAATTTGGAAATACAAGGATTTTTCGTGGAAAGAAAACAATGTCTCGCCAGTGAGTTGAGTTTGTATGGCAGCCGCCTTTATCGAGCACGTGTCAAGACTAATTACCGCAGATAATTGAATGGCGTATCTGTTACAGATTCACTGACCCATTTTTTAGCTGCACAAACTGGTATAATTATAGTTGACCATTAGCTCGTTACTTATTCTTAATCGTGTTCCTCATTTATTAATAGTTCACGTATTAGTGGATAACAATCGAAGACCTGGCAGAAAGAGGGGTGCAGCTCCGTTTTTGACAGTTTCTTAGTTACGTCGTGTGTTGTAACGTGACAGAAGAGAACGACGACGAGCAGGCTCAAGGATAATTTTATCTTTCGATGTCTACAAAAAATGACAAGATATTTTTTTCCATGTTTGATTGATGAAGCAACGATAAAGGAATAAATTGTGTTCTCTAGTGTGCATAGGTGACAAAATGCATCTGTTTTCTTTTTGTACACTTTGGTGCAAGTCAGGGTAGCTCCAGATTTGAAAAATTGGACAAAAATAGAGAGAAAAACTTGTCGACTCGATAATCACTGCTTATTGTGTGAAAATAGATATTTTTCAATTAGTGGTCTCTTTTTAATGTTGAGTGGAAGCAATAATTTTGTAAATACGTTTCTCTAATTCACTCGAAGTTGGTAAAAATGGAGCTGCAAGGTCCTCAATTTTCGAGAGATTTTGTCTCTTCAAACCCGCTTAACGCATTGTAAGTACGCCGGTAAGATAAAATACACTATATTATTACCAAAGAAAAAATTGTAATAAAATATTAGGTTGTTGCATATGAAATGGCTGATTTGAGAATTTCGTCCTTAAGTAGATAGGATTTCGTCCAATTAGATAGGACTTACTAACTTATTTCAAGCATATCAATTTCAAACTCGAAGCTGGTCCAAATTCCGGATTTTTAAGCTTTGGTGAAACTTTTTAATAAAGAGCGGTAATCGTCGCTGCAGCAACAGACAGCGATTAATCGGTGCTCTTTGCAGCTATTCGCATGCAAAAATCGACAATCCGCCAGTTTGCATTGATAGGGTAAATCGTGAGA